ATCTGTACCAAAATTTATGAGTGCTGAAATATAACAAAAAAATTGCTTTTGGTGTTAAGTACATACAAAAACATTTGAAAAAATTAAGGAAGGATTACATTGATATATTGAACTCCATTTTGAAACCATTTAAATGTATTATTTTAATTGCATGCTGTTTTAGAATAAAAGGCAGCAGATAACAGCACCTTGGACATGTTAACTGTTAATGTTGGTAGCGAGAGTGTGTGTGTGTGTTTTCTTATATCAAAACAACATCTGACTATCGACCCCTGATTATAGCATTGTAAAGCCGAAGACTTACTGCTGTCCCACTGGGGGACAGGCAGCGAGAGAAGGAAAATTATCAGCTTACAGCAGATTATAATCCTACATTGAAATATTTGTTGATTTTCAGTAAATAGTTTTGAAAAAAACTATATATGCTAAAATATGTTTCCAATTACTATGTTCTAGTATTAATGTCACATGGAATTTTTAAAATATTTTTTCCATTTTAAAATGTTTTTTGCTTGATTTTTTTATTTCAGGTATTCAGGAGTAGAACCTAAAAAACTGAACAAACGTGTGTTTCAAAATAGTGGAATCATGTATGGAGGTCAATATTACACAACCCCACCACCTGCAAGGAGGTGAGTTTCTTAATATGTTGTTTGGGTTATGAATGTAAATCATTTTATCACTTATAATACAGTCAGTTCATTCACGACAAAAATAAATAAAAGTGAAATTAAATGTTTTAGGCTTGTTGTATTTTTATCTTTCTGTACATTAGACTTCAGTACTGTGTAGATGGATCGCTCACTGTCATGCAAGAAGGCAGGCTGGATACTACACTACCATGTACTGGGAGAGGTTTTATATATACACACACATAAATGAGTCTCATAGAAGATCTTTTGTATATTATTTATCCATATACTTTTGAGCTATACAAGAAAAACTGGTGTAATATGATATTTGTTACTTTTTGTGTCAAGAGGCAAGTTTACATTTTGTGTTTCTAAAGGTTCTTAAATTCTTTATAGGTAAAAATCTCACTTGAAGATGAGGAATGGAATTTATAGTTATCAATTCCATATGCTTCACACATTGCTGTGTGTTAGGTTTTTGATTCATGTAATAATTTTGTAAAATTTCATCTTTACAATTTTGTAGATGGATGAAACATTAAATTATCCAAAATGAATCATCACTCAACACCTAAAACCTCTTTTAAACAACAATCAATTAGTTATAAATCCATATGAAGTGACCCGTATTTATCAACACTTTTATGATAGGTCGCCTGCAACAAGTCAGAAGAGCAAGAGCAAGGACAAGTTAACACTTAGTAGTCTCAAGCTAAAGCGCAAAGCAGAAGAAATTGAAAGAGAACCAAAAAAAACTGCAAATCAATTTTCCCACCTCTCTTCACATGAAAATCAACTCCTTGATGAAATAGCTAATCAGTCTGAATTTTTGTAAGTATATAATTTCTTCTCTGTCTTCTCAGTATAGTCTTGTGGTGTGATGTGTAACATCTCTAACTTCAAGCTCTTAAAATAATAAGTAAGGATGCCATAACAAAAGTATCTTTTTTATAACATTAAAAGATGACTATTGGTAATCATAAATTCCAGTGAAAAACAGTAAAAGCAGAAAAATCAAAATATCTTTTTAACATTAATATGAAAAATAGATTGTATTTATAACTGTATATGCAGATTTGTAGTAGAGTGATTGTGCTTAACTTAATGCTATTGTACATTATTTTGACTTGCATTTGGAAAGTTGGACATAACAAGTGTTAATATTATACAAGCTATACCGGTTGGCTTGCTTGTTTGGCAGGTTTCTTTTGAAACACTGACAATTTGAGCATAATGGTAGTATAATCTGTCAAGCCAATGTAATTTATTTTAGGATAGTGCCATTTCCTGCTAATCAAAAATTACCTAAATTAGGACACATGCTCATAAATAAAAAATAATAAATAGATAAATACAAAAACATTGATCATTTTAACTTGTACTGTTGTATGGCTTCTCTTGTTATTCAGTAAAAAAGAGCCCCCCCACACACAGTGGTACAGCAGTAAGTCTATGGACTTATAATGCTAGAAACTGGGTTTTGATACCCATTGTGTAGCTTTGTGCTTAACTACAATTAAATAAGTCAGTAAAAAGAATAATGGAAAGCCCAGTCCACTTTATAAGAAAGACATTTTGTTTCATTAATTTTAAATTCCATGGTTAATGTAATCAACATTAACTGATGGCCTAATATCACAAATAAACTATGTCTTACAAAATTTTTGTTTACTTGGTAAATCCATATTGCTATTTCTTCATCAAAACACAAGCTCAAAACTCACAGCACTGAATTAACTAACTGACAGTAACAGACACTAAAAAATACACACTGATTGCCTATTAAATAACTAAAAGACTGACTTATCTAGTCTAGCCTAACTTCTTTTATATATGGTTCAAGTAGTTTCCTATACTTCGCGAGAGTTCCATACATTAAGACCATGCTCATCACATTACATTAAACTTTCTTCTGGCTAAATGACTACAAATTTCTAGAAATATTTAGTTTAAAAGCATAGGCTACAACACTATTATACCAGCTACAGGAAAACAAAAAGAAAATAGAATCAAATACTATGTCTTACATGCTGTGCAATATTTCACTAGTAATGCAGTTATTCATACATCACAAAACTAAGACTAAATTTTGAGCTTGCAGAATAACTGTTTAATATTCAGGTGATGAACTCTGTAAATGGTTGTGTGTGTGTACACTTTGAAGCAGTAATCAGATTTAAGTTGTATTAAGAGCTTTACCATACTTGTTTTCTCCAGAGGAGAGAAACTTTCTGTTCCATCAGCAGGTTCGAGGAATCTTTTAAAACATTATGTAAAAGAAGAGGAAACAGATAAGGGTAAGTAGTTTATGTATTCAATAAATATATAAATATGTTTCACAAATGTTGGTAATAATAGATACTTTTAATTAAAAAATTTTTTTGAAATAACAGATTAAATATGTTTCAAACCCGTGTTTTTGCTTTCTGGCATATACTCTAATCTCAAAATTCTCAATTTCATTGACTTTTTTTTTTGCAGAAAGTTTACAAACATTTTTTTATGGGTACATCAAGTAAAGCTTGACGAATCTACATATTCACAACAACAGATCTATTGCTGAACTTGTTTCACTGTTTTGTGACCATAAGCTATTAATCAGAAGAGCCTCTTATAAGTAATATTTTCATTACTTTTCCTTGAAAAACTCATAAATAATTGTGTGTAAATGTATACTTGATTTGTTATTAGTCATCAAAAACATCTTTGTTTGTAGGCACCTAGTGGTAGATCCATTATACCTTGAATTGGATCTGGGACATTTTAATTCATATGGTACATTATATGTTTTTAAATACAATATTTTACCTATAAGCCTGAAAAATTCTGTAATCTACATTCAGGTTTAAAGATAACTATTAAATCAGTATGTGGATAAGCTTTACGAAACTTGTAAATAATTGATTTTTCACGATACCTGTCTATTATATTGTAATATTGTTGACTGATTGAATCGTATGATAAATTTTTGCTATAAAGGTGAAATTGCTTCTCATAAGAGAAATATTTAGTTTTTTCTCTGTGAAATTTGTCAGTAGTCTTTCTTCCAATTTTTAGTCAGGAAGGGAGAGATTAAGTCAATCACACCAAAGCAGCTTCTTCAAATGCACACCAAACAACTCCAAACTTACCAACATCAGAAGAAACTTCAAGGTAGTAATGCCAATGTACCGGTAACTCCAAAACTCGGTAAAGGATGTCGTCCTGGTGATGAGGTTTTTCTTGACTTTTCCAGTCCTCTACAAGTGAAGTCTTTGAACCAAACCGATTTGGCAAAAGTAATGATTTAGGTTATTTTATGATTAGTTCTGAAAATCATTAAAAAAAGTTTTTTGATACTCCCATATAAAAAATGTTGAGTTTGAAAAGTCATATTCAAAACAGGTTAAATATTTTATACTAGCTTTGTTCAGAAATATCAAATTAGAATCTACTGCACAACACTTGAATGCCAAAAATCCTTCATTGCTGCTCATAATTATGCATAAAAGTTCTACAGCAACGATTAAAATGTTGTTGTTTTTCTATTTTTTTCAATGTGACATTTTCTAATTTTTTTTTTTTGCATTCACTTAATGGAATTTCAAGCATATGAGATGATATTAAATTATTCTGAAGTGTTGATCTGTTTTTGTTAAAAGCAATTTTCAGTTTCAAAGGAATAAGAGAAAACTGTGAAAGCATAATATCAAATTATTGTTGTTGGAAATCCTCTATGTGAGAAAGAACATATGGGCTACTTCTTAGTAATTTGATACTAGCAATCATCTGCCATCACATTCAGAAATTAAATTCTGAGATTATCTGACATGGTATCTTGTAAGTTAAACCTACAGTTTGCTAACAGATGAATGTTTGTAGTTAAACTTAGAGGCCACCAATAGAAACATGTGAGTTAAATCTATCAGTCATAAATAGAAACTTATTTTGAAATTCAATGTTTCTACAGGACATTTTAAATTTAGTTAAGATAGAATAAAATTAAAAAGTAAAAAATTAAGTTGAAATAACAATTTTCGAGTCAAGTGTGAGGTGAAAATTGTAATATTTTCTGAACAAAGTTGACTTATAAAGTATAAATTAAAATTAAAGCAGTAAAATTATTATCATTTTTTGTACAATAACTTCTGTTTCTAAAAATTTCTCTTTTCCTGTTGTGTCATTTAGCAAAGTGGGTGTGAAATAAAACTGTTTTTACCAGTTGGATGAAGTGAATGACCTTACATCTAATTTATTATTTTCTTTGAATATATTGGAAAAGTATTGTTATTACATTCTTTCATTGGTGAGTTCTTTTAAAGTATATGGTAAAAATATGAAAATAATTCAATGTTCAGTCCATGTAGCAATAATAAATTAGTTTTATTTCCTCTTCAACATTTCTCTACAAATTTGTACACTTTGTAACTTGTTGTAGACCTACAATTACAGCCAATACTAATGTAAAAATCAACAAAGTAAGTCAATATGTACAATAGCTAACACAGATCCAAATTTATAAACACTGACTGATTCACTCTGTTGGCTAGAAAACAATCCCCTTTCATGATGAATATACTGGAATGGATGGCAACTCATCATGAATACTCTGTATAAACAATTTATCAAAGAAAATTATTTGGCTTGGACTAGTTAATGTTTGAACCATTTTTCAACTGTCAGATTATGTCAATCTCCTGATTGAGTTTACGATTTATACATATGCTTATTATGAATTGCATATTTAAATTTCAGCTTATCCATTAAATTAGTTTTTATCTTAAAAGAATTTTAAAGGGTATGTCCAGTTTTAGTAAATTATACACGTAATGATTATAGCCCTCTAATGATTCCATCCTCTGTAGCAAGGGTGCCCAAACTTTAAAATTTGTTAGGCAACTTATGTTTCTAAACTGAAGTCTGAGGGGCAAACATTTTATTGTCTTGCCCATTACCAGATTAGATATACCAGGTTTAAAACATAATTGTTAATGTTTGCAATAGAAGACATGGGACTAATGTAATGAAAATATAGTAACTCAAAAACAATCAGGGACTTTGTAATTATTTGAACAACTGACAATTTTTTAATATATGGAAACTAGACACTGTATTTTTTGAAAATGCAGTCTTTATAAAAAATTTGTATGATGTTTTTCAGTGGTACATAATTTGGCAATCATTGCTCTATATTATGTTCTTCTATAGGAAAAAGGAAGTTAGAACATCCTGTTCTAAAGCACCAGACTATTCAAGATAAAATTTAAAATGTCTTGGTATTAATTATATTACCTGTGTTCACTCTATTCAGTTCCCCAGCAGTTCATTATAAAAATAAAAACTAAAGAAATGACAGTTTACTGTCGATAGAATTGTGTCAACTGTCAAGACATTTTTCACAAGAAGGAGAAAAACTTATTTTTCTACTTATATTTGTAGTTTTTATCTTCTCTGTTTTGAATTACTGCCCGAAATTTATTCAGTATCTTTCCTTATTTTTATGTTTTATTTTTTACTAGATTTAGTTCATGAAAGTGATGTTTAAAGAATGTATCACAAAACTGTTGAAGGTGCATATTTTGGAGTCAGTCAGCAGGAGTGACATAGATTAAAACCAATGAGAATGGATTCAAAATATATTTTAAGAGGCCTTTGGCAGAGAAGGTTCTTAAAACAACTGTAGTTCATGGATTTGGGGTGAATTTTTATAGTTTTTTCCAGCTCAGTGTACTGTCAGTTGTCTAAAATCAGTCTTTAATACTGACTGTGCCACAGTCATCGGGTATGAAATCCATTCATCTTAACCTAAGAGTGCAGGTGTATTCCCTTTTCTTCTTCATACTTCCTCTGTTCGTAGTAGTTAATTACATTTGTCTATAAAGATGATTCTTTTTCTGTACAGCTGATTCAGGATGATATAAAAATTAATTAATGTTTTTATTTTACTTTTTGTAATAGCTTTAAGCCTAACACAATATCTGATAGTGTGGACTACAGTTAAAATGTAAGGTAGTTCTTTCAAAGTTTGGCTCATTATAATTAAGTTGATTTAGATGTACGTATAGCTTTAAGGTAATTAGTGGCTACCAATGGTAAGGTCTTCCTTTATGGATGGAAATTCTATTAATTGAGTTATTTTTATGTGATTTACGTACCAAAATTGTTTGAAGCATTTAAATTTTATGAGATATGATATAATTCTTTTTTATATTACAATTGATTATACAATTTTAAAAGTATTCTGAGCAATCTTATTGACTTGTCCCTATGTGATTTTATAATTCATCACATTTAATTAACATTTGGTTTATTTATCTTCTGACTAATACTCAATCTTCAATATTTTTATTTATTTCTTTACACTTGCTTTGTTATTCTTTACAAAAAGGGTTTTTGAACTTTGCTCTCATTGGCTAGCTGTCAAGAAATATCATAAAATTAATCGTACTTCCAAAATTTTATATTTGGTTTGTTGCTCTAAACAACATAACTTGTGATGTTTTTTTATGTTTATTATTTACGTTTTACTACTAATAATAATCAAGATAATATGATTATTTTGTTTGTGTATGTGTGTGATTACTTAACCCTTTCATTTTATCTGGGACATATATTTCCCAGCCACAGTGAGTGGGTTAAAAAAATAGCAATTCATAGCATTTACTGTGAGCTATGAAAGATTAGATGTTACAGATATTCTGGACTCAAGGTTTAATAGAAGAGATAATTTTAAAGATAAACTTGTGCTGGTTGAAACATTAGCAAAATTAACCAATGCCAAATATTTTTTTTATATACACATTTTATTCACAGAATGCATATTTCTTCTCATTTTTACATGGAAAGAGGAAGACTTTTTTTGTTTGCTATGAATAGTTGAAATCTATAATCTTGACCTTTTTTCTACAACTGTCATGTACCAAGTAAAACTTATACACCCTTCTAAGAAAAGCAAGGAACATTATATTCCAAGAAGAATTAATTTCACATCCTTTGGAAACATTAGAATATAAAAAAAAGGGATAGATGAGAGGTTATCATTAACAGTTTTTCTCAAAGTAATGTTGAAATTGTCTAAATATGTGTTTTAAAATTGTATCTATGTTTGTTTAAACTCTTAATTTGTAAGAAGTTAAGAATGTACTTTTCAAACAACACTTTAATATTATCATCTCAGTAAATAACTGTCAGTCATAATCAGCATACTCTTGAATTATGATGAGGTTCATTATTTTAAGCACAAAAATTTGGTGTTCGTTAAAAACTGAAGTACAGGGTGAAACACGAATTACCAGCTAATAATAGATAAACAATAAATATTACAGTTGGAACCTTGTTATATTTAGAACTTGGTTATAAATACAACCTTCCTATGTCTGTTGAAACACTGCATTAGAAAAATAAATAAAAGAAAACTTTTCAAAAAAGCAAGTAAATGTAGGGATGGCTAACATAAATCCTTCAAAAACAATGCA